GGCACAAGAGAATGCAAAAATCATCGTCAACTGGATATCTCAAATATTCCAGGCATTTCATTGTGGAGACAGTTTGGGCAAAAACAAAAGAAAAGCTCGGCCACAGGTGGTGTTTCTATGCACACCTGATCTCTTGTTGCTAGATCATTCACAAAAACCCAGCATTCTGTCACTCAAATTCTGGGCCTTTTTTACCACCTTGCTTTGTTTTCAAATCTCTCATCACCAACAGTGTAAGCCTTCCTATAGCGCAAGTCTTGGTCAGTATAAGACTTGGAAACTTCCCATAACACTCCTGGTCCCATGGCACGCAATTAAGGGACGACAACACCGTCCAGTGTTGTGCTATCCCCGTGTCCCCCCAAAAAATTTGAAGTGGGACATAAGTAGCTACACAGCCCCACGATTAATTCCGCCAGAAGAAAACAGGAGCGAGAGTCTGTAAACAGCATCCGCGAGACAGTAATCTCATTCTGGCGGTGGAGCAGGGGAAGCTTGCCTAACTTTGTGGGGCAAACCCACGCTGCTCCGGCAATGAGTAACAGAATTACGGCGGCCTTCTCCGAGCTTAATTTGAGACTGATTTCCCAGAAGATGCTGCAAGATATTCTGTCCGTTTGCCCTGCTTACTAGCACAGGGGTTTGTGTGCTGGACAAAGTGAGATTTTACATCGAGTCAAGGCTCCACTTTCTTGCAGCAATTTCCCCACAGACACACCTAATTCTGTTGACTCCAGTTTTGATGCTGCTGTTTCAGGTTGTCTTACAAGTGTAACAAAACATTCTACATCAACCCTCCCCCATAATTACTTTTTTCTTTCTCCTTTTCACCCTTTTGTAAACTTTTTATTTCCTGGGATGTACAAGTAACTGTTCTCATGTGTGTTGACATCCTGTTAGTAGTACATGCATTTATTTTATTTAATGAGTATTAAGCCCCCGGGAAAGGCATTCTTTTTTTAAAAGTCCTTGGGACACTTGTAGAGCAAGGCTCTTGTAAGTAATGTAGTTCTTACTCATAGCAGAGAGATGGTCCTCTGTTGGTTATTTGTATTACTGCATATCAATTTGCCAAAATTACACATAAATGTGGTAGAGAGGTCTGCACAGGGGGTCAAGTCAAGTCCCTCAGTAAGCTGGTGTTTTTTATATTTCTTTTTTATCCACCTTTGAACTGATTGTACATACCGTGCATGTACATGTACTGAGTTCAACCTGCACCCCTTTTTTTGGTCAACAGCTTAAGTCCATTTCCTCCCAAGACTGTGTATCATCACCATTCCCTGAACGTTACCCATTTCTTTGCCTGCACAAGGTGGCTTGCTGATGATGTTATGGTTTGGCCCTCATCAGTACACAAGTCAAACACATACCCGAAAATGGAAAGGGTCTGTGATTTGGGCTATGCCAGTGAAGCACAGCCATTGTGCTGCCAAGCCCAGAGGCATTTCATGCGAGCGAACACCAAACAGTATTGGTGTTTCCAATTGACTTGATTTTATTGTTGTGTCATTAAGACGAGCTGTATTCATTTGCTCCCACCACCGTGGGCCAACCTGACAATGAAAACACTAGACCGTGATCTCACACCATCGACAATGACGCGCAAGCATGCCAGACTTGATTTCATCGTCGTACACCCTCGCACCATTAACCACCGACTAATGAATTTTTCCCAATTCATCAAAATCGGTTCAAGTTCCCATTTTTTTAGTCTGCGTCATCTGCCAAAGTTCTAGGCAAAGGACAACTGACTGCATTGCGCGCCGGAGGTTGTGTACAGTGGTCGTCAGTACAGCGAGCAGCTTGCACGCAGGAGCAGAGGAAACAGGCCAGACCTCATTGTCAGAAGCGGCGAACTTAATCTGGACCCCTGATCATATCACCCTGGAGATGATATCCTCTGCCATGCGCCTCCCCTCCCCACACCAACCCTGATCCTAGGCCTCCAAACAACAAAAAAGCCCACCCCCTGCCTCACATCCTTCCCAAGTCGCACATGACTACCTTCCCCCGAACCCACCCCGAAGCACCGATCGGCCTGTCCCACTTCTAGCCAAACCTCCTTATACACGTACCGGGGTTGCGTTTACAGGAGAGAGGGGTTATTGAGCCTCATAGCCCCAGGGGAGGTAGAGAGCTGGCATATTAATTGTGATGTTTGATAAATAACCGTGCCAGCAGGGTGAGGAGAATTTTCCTCATCGAACAGTCACTCCGTACATTGTGCATACCACTAGTACAGTTACTAGTTCCCTGCATGCTGCGTTTTTACTCCATTGTCCTGAGGTTCTGCACATTTGCCTTTCTGGTGATGAGCCACATTTGAAATGCGACTCCTGCTTGACAGTGGGTTATTGAGCCAATGACTTATTCATTGATAGAGCCTATTGTTTCATCAGTTGTCTCGTGGTTCCATGCATCAAAGAGACCACTTTCATTAGAGTCTTACAAGACAGCATAAAGTACTACAAGAAATGGGGCAGTGTACCAACTGTTTGTATGGACAACCTTGTGCCTGGTTCGTTCACGTTCAAAACAGAACCAGAACGACAATAGATGATTTATCCACTTACAGTGCCCGACATCCTGCGGTCGTGTCGCCATCGCTCATTTACAAGTTGGATCATGTCCAAGTACTCAAAAGCAATCAGTCCTATTAATCAGCCTTAATTGCCGACTTCTGGTTTGGAGGATGAGATTTTTGCCCTCGTCGGTCACTTACCGGCCTCCCGCATCCTCAAGGAAACCCAGATTAATGGTAAGCGAGAGGAGGGAGATCTTTTGTTGGCTGTTAAAACAGGGGGGAGGCAAACTGACCCGACCCTGTAGTGTATGGTCGGAAGTTCCATCTCGTCTGCATCAGCTTCGCAGGATTTTCACCCTCTTGAAAATAGGGGGGGGGAGAGAATGGTTTTGAGGAGCAATATCTGACAAACTAATCACTCTGCTAATGGCTGTTATGTGAGTGCTTGATGAGGACTGTAAACAGAACAGCTCCGATTATGAAGTGTGAAGAACAGCTGCAAGATGAAGGAAATGGCGGGGGTGTTCGGTAATGGACGTCGTAAATTTCTGTCTTAATTGTACATCATGGGAGTGTGAATTCACAGAGTTTGCTCAGAATTTCATCATTGAGGCCCTTTGACATTATCCCCAACTTCTGTACATTGGCCCCAGATTGAACCCTGATGATTTTGGTGACCCATTTCCATGCCCAGGTCTCCCAATGGGTACGAGGTTGGCCCATGGTTTGCCAAGCCTCCCTCCTCTGTTAACAAGAGAGGGGGTGCTTGAGGACAGAGCCCAAATTTTAGGCACTCTTAGCGTTCTCCTTTAATTTTTCTTCTAGTTTTGATATATACCTGAAGATTTTGGATCAGCCTATTATCAGAATTTTAATGTTTTATGATATGCGGCATATTTCTCAGCAATTTTGCCATCAGAAGAAAACGAGTTGCCACCAAAAAAGCTTTAAGTTGTCACAAAAAATTTGTCACACGATGTTAGATGCCAGCTATGAATTATGATTGCGATGATAGCAAGAAAACAGGTGCGGGTAAGAATCCATGGGCTTAATTGAAATTGAAACAGTAACCTGGTCAAATGGATGGAGATAGAAAAACAAGATGATTCTCCATCCCAACAATGTGTGTGCCTTAGTCCCTCTCTGAAAATAGCTTCAAAGCCTTCCTTCTTTGTTCATGTCAATTAAGTTCTATAGGATTCCCCAGACTGCCATTTTACCAGGCCATTTTTTGGGTTCCACAGGGTATGCACAAAGGAGATTTCCCTGTGGAACAAAAGAACTGCCCTGCACAATGGCTACTATGCAAAGCCTCTGTCGTCCAAAGCTACCCTGCATGGCCAAAGATATGATACAGATAAGAGATCGTCATTGCTTGTGGGTTGTGATACAGAAATCATGTCAGGTATGTAGAACAGCATTGGCAACCAACTGACAGCGTGCGGACACTTGTCACCTCCCGTATTGATCCGTGTTTACGATACGATCAGCGACCACCGCAGCTTCATTTCCTGGCCAGGAGTGTTACATTCAGATTTTGGACCGCGTGAGCTACGTCATCCCTGACTGGCTCATTAGGCAGTGGAGATGGCATTATTAGCATCATTGGGCCAATCAGAGATCGCAATGCTGTCTCCGTTAGAGTGGAATAGAATCATCCCGGTCAGCTTGGCTGGCTTCTGATTGCTCAGGGCTTTGGATCGTTTTCCTTTGCCCTCTCTCTCTCTCTCTCTCTCTGGAACTGGTTGAGGGGGGTTTACTCGAGCAGAATGATCCAATGATGCTATAGTGAGCGCACTGCCGCCTATCATGGTTTCCTCGTACCCACCGCTCAGCGCTGAGTTCTTGAGCTTCTATGCACAATTATTGGAGCGTCATAGACTCAGATGAGATTGCAGCCCAGAGGTGTCCTGCCTCAAATGATATGACTGATCATAAAGTCAGTTATTCAACCAAAGCTCCCTGCACTGAAGGGTTTTTCAGTTTTGAAGCAATTTAGTGACAGCTGATCAAGAGGAGGCTCTGCAAGGAAACGTGGGAAGATTATTATTGATAACATGTGAAACATGATGTTAGTTTTAAAACCGTATACGTAAATGTAAAATGCAAACAGTATGCATCACCAGTGTCTATTTGACATAAAGTTGTCAATGTGCCACGTTAATTTGGCACTTTTTCAAAATTGTATTCTTCATTTGTTAAATGACAGTGATTTAGAACAATTCAAGAGGGGGAAGTCTGAAGCATAAGAGTGGTAAAATTGTTTTGAGTAAACTAAGCACTAAGCTTCACTTCCTGCTTGCCAGAAATAATTAGAGGCTCTGTAAGCACAGAACTGGTTGCCAAGCAGAGCCTTGAAATTGGGCCCCTTTCTGAGGGACTTAAAGCAGTGGTTCAATAAGATATCCAGTACAAGTACAAAGCCTTCCCAGAAATGCCTCTTCCCTCCTTTTCTCTTTCTTCATATTTACAGGGTCTCTGCCTGTGATTGCCATTGAAATGCACCCTTACTTGCTCAACACCGGTGTTCCCTCAGATGCAGAAATGTCACGTTGCTGTCCCAGTCTCGACACGCCTTACTCTGTGTGCGGCACGTTTTCTCTCTCCCCGCTACCAGGACATGGTGAAGGGTTTCATGTTTCATCAGGTTCACCTCACCCAGCGAAGTTCTACATGATAACACGGTGTAATACAGCATTGGTTTCCCTTTCAGTCTGAGCCCGGCACTCCGCCAGACTGTAACACATCCCCTCCTGGTGTACCTACTGGGAGGTGAGAGAGTCCGTAAGCCGGGCGACTTTTGAATGATTGATGGGCCCCAATCATTTATTCAATGACTCATTTAAGCATTGTTTAATCATTGATTCCAGACACATCCCTTGTTTGCCCATGCAATTTGGCAGTGGGTGAACGGCCATTCTAATCTTAGGGGGAGGGAAGAATTCAGCCAAACCTGCCTATACTGGGCCCTTGTTTCTCGCGATTTTTGTAATCAAGTCAGTTGGTTTTGGATTACTTTCCCTACAGACCTTACTGACACATTTTACTTTAATGCCACTCTTGTTACTCGATGTAGTTGCTTCCGTTAAAATTCTCAACCTCTGATTTGAAAATCTGACCGTCAGCTGAAGACCCTTGGATTTGTCTCGGAAAGTGAAGGTCCTTATGAGGTAAGAATTGCCTTGTTAAATGGATTGGTCAGAGAGAGGCACAGTTGAGGGAACCAAAGAGGGCAGTGTCAGTGCCCATTTCAATTGGTGGTTGTTACTGGCTCTGAAAAACAAATTGAAAGAAATTTTGATTTCAGACATACGATCTCAAGCAGCCGACTGTACTAACTGACTCGGTGGTTCAGATCAATTTGGGAGATTTCAGTTGGGCCAAACATTAAGTAACCTGTAATATGTGGCAGCACAGCAAGACAAAAAGAAAGTTTCATTCTGGGAAGAAAAAAGAGAGGAAAGAGTTTCCATCAAGAATAAATGGGATGGCTGAAATTAGTTCTTGGGGGGGAAGTATGTTTGAGAATCTGTCAGAAATGTTCTAAAATTGTTCTAAAGATTTCAGAACACTTCTGAGAGTTCTACCAGAGTTGTCAATATTTAAGTTTAGATGGAGGACGAGGGCTTTATGATTTGAGGAATGCAGGGTTAAAGGAGAGATGCAGTATGATTTTTATGACTTAAATACATGTAGGGAAGCTTTCTTGAAATGTCCACCTCTTTTGAAACAGTAAAAGGGGAAGCCTTCAACATTTTGGTTTTCATGCCAATGAAAACTTCCATGTTTATAAGCCAGAACGTGATGCCAGTCAAGGCAGAGCAGTTGTGTAACCATTCCTCTGTGTAAAAATATATGTCACACTTTTCTACATTTTTTTAGCATGTTCCTCCTTTTACTTGTTTATGAGTTTGTTCATACAATATGAATGGCCATCATTGGTGGTAGATTTGGTGGTCTATTTTGAAATTGTTTATTTTAAAGGGCAAATTTTTTGCAAGTTTTTCTTGCCCTCTTTTGATAAAGAGTGCCTTGAAAATAAAAGAAAAGTAGTGCCTTCTGAGTAGTATCGATGAAAGGATTTTCCAAGAATGGAAAGACCACTACCTTTTGTCACGACCCAATGGAAACAAAGTGTCAATTGTATTGTTATAATACATAGTGATATGTATGAAAACAAGTTGAGCTGAATGTACTTTGTGTGCTTCCTTCGAACTCCCTCCCCTTTTCAGTTCCTCCCTCCCAACTGCCTGTAATGAGTGTTTCATCAGCCGCTGCTGTAAAGTTCTATCCTTTTCTTTATCACCCGGCATGGCACCGACCGATAAGGCACCGCAGTTCACTTCTCAGTCCCAACTGCAACCCTCCCCGTCTTCAAGTTGGCTCCATATACTTACCCATTTCCCGCATGACTGTCTGACCGCCTGACCGCCATACATCTTGATTATACTTCGACATTTACTCCAGAAAAAAAAAATGTGTTAAGGTTGAATTACCTTTTCTGCCATCCACATTTATGGCTACACTTTGATGAGTGATAACAACAAAACAAGATGTTTTACACAGTCAACAGCTTTGGTCCGGATGTGACTCCATTTCACTAATTCACAAAAGGATTAGCTAGTGGACTCTTTACCCCAACTTCACCCTGCCCTGCCATCAAAGTAACGAAGTGGCTTCCGCCAGCTCTTTGTGAATCTTTGTTGATTTTGCAGATCTTTGACAGAAAATTGCTTTTATAACCTGGGTGGAGTGTTGTTCATTGAAATGAATCCCTGGATTGCTTGCTCTGTTCTGATTCTGTCTTTAGGCTCAGCAATCTTGCGGTTATTTGTTCTTGTCAGTCAATGCATCATCTATCCCCCTGTCCTAAGGAAAGGCAGACAGACAAATTTTGGTTTAGCAATTTCTTCTTGTAGAAAATAATCAAACACCCCCCCCTCATTCTTTTCACACAAATCTTTAACACTTGTGACTAAACCTTCACATTGCCTTCCAGAACATTGGCCGTATTGGAAATATGGGCTCAGATAACACTGGGGGTAACAGTTTCAAGTATTTCACTGGGAGTGGACAGACATTGCAATCCTGGATGAAACCCAATTGTCAGTATTCATGAGTGGTAATGTATAAAGACCTGGTGTGGCAACAATCTGATGCATCAGATCGTCCTGTTTGAACTTTTGTGGTGGAAGAACTACAGGTGCTCTTTGGAAATTGCAGGGTCTCTTGCTGTGTTGAACATCAGCAGTTTAACTCCCTCCTTTAACATCTGTCACCCCCACCCCTTAATTCTTACCGACTTTTGTGGTTTTGGTCATTTGGTTCAACTCAATTGACATATCCCTTTCAAATTGAAATGCAGAGTGAAGACCTCAGAAAATCTCCTTGTTAGTTGCTCATAAAATACTCCATTCTGAGGAGAAAAGGGTCATGTTGCTTTTTTTCTGCAAGTCATGTCACAAGTCATTTTTCGTCAAGTCACAAGTCAATTTGTCCCAAGTCAAACTGCAATTTCAATTGTCTTAGTCAAGTTATGTCACACATTTGTCCAAACTCATTTATTTTTCAAGCCTATCTAATGGCATACTTGACATGCTGTTGTTTCCATCACTTTTGACCCATTTTCCATTCTTGTGTGGTGTATACTTTTCAAGTGTGATCGATATAGACAGCACTGTGACACTGCCAACAATCATTTGAAATAAAAACTTGCTTCAGTCCTGCATTTTGAGATTTTTTCCATTTGGATTGTTGCATCATGAAGTGACATCATAGCTGTAGGTCTGTGTCCTTATTCCTCAATGGTTTCCACTGTCTCTGAACTCTATAATCTAGCGTCATGGGCTCGGAGTTAACATACTCCCTTGCTTGTATCAAACAGAGTGAAGGACCACCGTTTAACTGTGCATGACACCAGCGCTGTGATGCACCTGTGCCCACTCAAAGACCAAATTCTGCAGTTTCAGATAAAAATTACCTGCGCGCATACTTGAGAACATAGGTGGGCACAGCATGGCATGTCAGCTGCCAAGGAAATTGTTGAGCACGCTCGCTTGCTCGTGCAAGGAGCCCACATGAGCCTGTGGAAAATTCAAATGTTGGTCTTGCATTTATGTGGGCACACTTCTGTGCTGTCAGCCATCAACTGGTCAGGGACTGATTGGCAGAAGGACCCCTCAAACACCCACCGGATAGCCCCTGGAAGTTGTGGTAAAACAGAATATGATTAGCCAGCCTTCACAACCTGTCAGTCCTGGGCACAACAGCCTTCAGGAGCCACAATGGTATACCAATATTGTGACAAGAAACAATGGGGCTGGGCTGATTAAACCACAAATGATCCATTGTGCAGAGGTGGCAGAGTCAAGACACCTGCAAACACCTGGGGCTTCTGTTGGTCCTATCATGTCACTGGATTAGCAGGGATTAAAAACCTCTCAAGCTGGGGACCAA